AATTAGCAATTAAAAATTTGTGCATTGAGACCAGATGCAATTGTAGAATATATTTTGCATGTACAATAATTATCCTTTACTTTTAAAAAGGAAGAAAAATGTATAATACACTATAGATAAAAATCAAAGGGAAAAAAGGGATTTTTACCAACTAAGATTGATCGCTTCATCTAATCACAGATCACCAAGTAGTGTTTATACCTTCAAGAGTTTTAGGAAGTTTTCCTATTTTGAATAGAAAAACTGAGCTCCAAATAAACACATTCAGCTTTGTAAAATTGTATCGCTTAACCTGATCTATTTTGTTTTCAGATCTAGAAGTTTAAAAATAAAATACTTCGCATTCTATAAAAAAAAATCATTAAAATGTATTACTAAAAGGATTTACTTTAAAATTCTTTTTTACTAAAATTTTCATCTGTAACTTTGACCTATCTAAAATAACTCATTTCATATGCATTCTTGTTAGTGAATCTTATCCCAGTTTTAATGCTAGTAACAATAATACTTTGCTTTATAAGTGTTCATGTCTCTTAAAACTTATTATAATATATCTGTCTTGCATAAACTTTCATTTAGCTAAGTATGAACTCGAAAATCTGACAGATTTGTTGGCCAAAATAATTTTAACTCTGATTTAAGGGAAAAGCACACGAAAAATAAAAAGACATACGACAGCCCAGGAAATTATACTTGCAAGATATATAACAGACGATATATTTAAATCTTTAGTATAGTTCTTTCAAAGCAATAAGAAATTGTAAACACTACAATAAAAGAAAATTCAAAAAGAAAGAAATATAAGTAACAAATATGCATATGAACATATACAACAATAAGCAAAGGTCAACAAAAGATTAGGAAAATAAAGTTACCTTTTTTTTTGAGATGAGACTAAGCAAGGTTATTGATTGGCAGAAAAAGCCAAGATGAAGAATTTGAAAATATAGAAGACAATAGAGTTAGCCCCTATGGAAAGTAGTGTAGAGATTCCTTAAACAGCTAAAATTAGACCTACCATTTGATCCTGCAGTCCCACTACTGGGTATTTACCCAAAGGAGAAAAAGATGTTTTATCATAAAGACACCTGTACTTGAATGTTCATAGCAGCACAATTCATAACCACAAAGTCCTGGAAG